ATGGGAGTATTTTACTTCATTTGAACTGATTTTGTGGACACATGTAGATTTGGAGTCTTTTTTAAAGGGCATCAGCTCTTTCCCGCTAATTGTTGCATGTAAACAAGATACAAATATTCAAGTATAGCAAAACCACTCCAACTCTAACCCTTCTTCATGCAAAGTTAAAATTGGAGTGATTTTGCTATATTTGAGTTGCTCTCAGCTTTCTGACACAAGGTGACAGGTGCTGTCCTTCTGAAACCTATCCTTTTAGAAAGGCCTCCAACTGCATTGTATTTACTCAAATCTAAGATGAGGAATTTTTTCTCCATTTAAAGCTTTATCTTGGATTTGAGTACAAGACAATGGGTAGAGTGCAGACAGCTGCTGCGGCTTCAATTCTATCCCTTGCTTGGGCTCGGCCCCAAAGCCACTGCCCCCCACAACTACCTGTGCTCCCCTGGCTGACCCCTGCTTCCTCTGAACCCCCTCTCCCCCTAATTTCCCATGTCCAGCTCCAGCCTGGGACCAGAAGCACCTTTACTCCAGCCATGGTTGGCACACCATCAGTGGTAGTGATGGTGGCAGCTTTGATGCTGCTCCAGGGCTGAGGCCAGAGCTGCCACCACAGCAACTGTGACTAGCAACTCTGGAGCAGGGTTAGAGCTGGAGGATAAATGGTGATGGAGCAGAGGCTGTGGAAGAGGGGCAGAGGCAGTGGTGAGGGCCAGGCAAAGGGGGCAGGCACTTGGGGGGGCAGGGGGAGAAAGTAGTGGGAGGCAGGTGCCAGGGTGTGTAGGCACTGGAGTAGGGGCACACATGTCAGGGGGTGCATGTGGCAGAGGTAGGTTAACTAGGTAATTATGATGTATCATTGTTCAATTACATCACTATAAAAGAAACATCATACTCCTTATAAGGTGAAATACCACCTGGTATTGTTGCTTTGAAAGCGAGGAATTAACCAATCTTTAAGCATTTCATCCTAAATAATAAATATTTTAAATTTAATATTCAATTTAATTTGTGTGAACAGTAAAATTCTGGACTCCTTCCATCAGGAATTGTAAGCTCATTATTTTAGTCACCAGGAAGAAGTAAGCTAATATCTGCTTTACATTTTCATCAAGGTAACTTCATTAGTATTTGAGCAGGGAGCCCAAGGGTATGCTCATATATTTTGCAAGAAGAAAAAAAAAACCTTCTGCATTTATTTAGACCAAACAGCATGAAAGCATTCTTATTAAACATAGTAATTTAACATGATAACTTGGCATTACAAATTGAGAGACCTAATCCTCAAATAGAATAACTCAGTTGTTCTACATGCTTTGAAGAGATACTCTTTTTATGCAAACTGTGGATCTCATCTTTCTTCTTAAGAAGACAGGGAGAAAGGAAGAACCATGAAAACAACTCAGTCAGTATAATGAAAATTGTCCTTTCCTTTTTTCTTTCTAGATATTTTATCAATATTCATTACTTGCTTAATGTTTTAAAATTCACATCTAATATGCCCTTTACTTTTATGGATATTTTGTATTTAATCCCAAGATTTTTTTTGTTTCTTTACAGTTGATACCAATATTTTCTTTTTCAGCTTTTTTTTTTCTCTTTAGTAGTCTTAGAAAAGGCATACAGAAAAGAAATCAATACCTATCAGGCTATTTCCAAGTACACTCCTAAGAGACAACCCAATAAGAAGGAAGTACAAAAAAGATGGATGATACCCTGGACTCATTCAAGTCACTGGGTTAACTCCAACTGACTTTAGTAATACCAGCATTTCATTGAGCATGTGTGAATATTTTATGTCCTGTTGCCTTCAAGGGTAATGCAATGTGGGCAATTCCGTATTTCTATTAATATTTATAAGGAATTCTAGTCTTTTCCTGGGTTCTTGGCTGCTTTGTCTGTGTTCCTACAGGTCCATCTTGCTGTTGTTTTCAGTGGCAATTAAGAAATGACTCTGTAGCATGCACCTCTGCTCAGCTTGGCCACATTTTGACATTCCCTCCATAATCTGGCTAGGGACCAGACATTCAAAAAGCTGGAGCCTAAATTGATTCAATCTTTGCACATTGATCTAACCTGCATAGCTTGAACCAATTTGCAGTGAATAGACATTCAGAAAATGCAGGCATGTGCCTGCAGTGGTTCAAGTGGTTCACCCCCCAGAAGCTGGGGGGTGTGCTAAAAAAGCTCTCAGCTGCAGGGAAGCTATGCTGGGGAGGTGTGGCCAGCCCCTGCAGTAGCCTCAAGGGAACTGGCCAGGGAGGGGTTTAATTCCCCCTTTCCTGTGCCATTGGCATGGACCTGGTGATCCCCGCTCACTGCAGCAGGGGCAAAGGTGCAGCCAGATGCCAAGCAGCATGGCTCCTGAGGCAGAGTGGGTAGGGAGGGGGGTTATTTCAGTTCTGGCCGCCACTGCTGATTGCTCCCTGTGCAGAGTGAGTAGTGGAATAACTCCCCCACCCTGCCCCCTCCACTAGACACCAGAGGGAGGAGGGAAATAAAACCCTCCTTGCCCTCTGGCCCAAGGGGGCCATGTTGGCTTGCCTCTGGCTGTGCCACTGCCCCTGCTGCTGAAGCGTCAAGTGGGGAGGGACCCCCCCATCCCTCCCCCTGTCATGGTTTCCTGGAGAGTACAAACACTAGGGGGAATATTGGGGGAGCTATGGCCACCCTTCTGAGTCCCAGTGCTGCTGGTCACCCCATGCAGTCTGGCACATCTCTGACTACCCTGCCTTGCTTCTGCCCCTGCCCTGGCCTGCAGAACAGCTTCCCTGCCAGAAAGAGACCTGTGCTCCCTTGGAAACCATGGCAAGGGGTGCTACCCCTGTCAGAGTCCCTCCCCACTCACTGCTCCAGTGGCAGGGGTTGGGGCATAGCTAGAGGCTGGCTGTCATGGCCCCCTTAGGCAAGGGAGCAGGGTTGAGGTTTATTCTGCCACTTGCCGCATGCAGGGAATGACTGGTGGGAGTTGGGGCTGGCAGACCCTGGTTGTGGTACCCTGGGGACAGAGGAGGCAAAGGAGGGAGTTAACCCTCTCCCTGCCCCCTCTGCTTTGGGGGCCATACTGGCCAGCCGGGGTTTAGCCACACTTTTGCCCCTGCCACTGCTGCAGTGAGGGGGGAGCACCAGGTGGACCCTGGATCAGGTCCATGCCAGTAGGACAGGGAGGGGAGAATTAAACCCCCTCCCTGGCCAGTTAACTTGAGGCTGCTGCTGGGGCTGGCCACACCCCTGCTGCTGGAGCAGTAACCAGAGAAATGCCTGGCAGGTCTGTGCTGGAAGGATAGGGGGCAGAGGTGGGGATAAAATTCTTCCCTGCCCCCTTCACCTTAGCGGGGCCAACACCTGGTCATGCCCCCACCCCTGCTCTGGCTAGGGGATAGAGGGGTGGAGCCAGCCCTGCTCTGTTGCAGCAGAGAGCACAGCCCTGCCCAGGGCTGCAGAGCATGCCCATATGCTTGGGGGCTCTGGTTTAACTTAGACCAGGAAGTGGTCTCGGACAGAAATTCCATAAACTAGTTTGAGCTCAATCAGTTCAGTCTGACAAACTTTGTTGAATGTAGTATCTCCAACCAGTTTTGGCCATTTTGAAACTGGTTTGTGCACACTGAACTTATGTTCTGTTATAGATTTAAAACAGTTTCTGATCACTTAGACTGGTTTATATGCAACTTCTATTCCTAACCCCTGTGTCCTTTCTCCCTCACTTATCTTTTTTTTCTGTGTTAGTAACCCAAATATGAGTTAACTCTTCCAGGGAAGAATGAATTTTTGAGTTGTTGCCTGTTTTAGAAAAGGAAGAAGGAGGCTCTCTTCCATGAGATTTATTTCTGTTTCAAATCTCTCCTTTTCTTTGAGAATCTTCTGTCTGGATCTCATTTATATTTCTTTTCCCTTCAAATCCTAAAAAGAGTTTGGGGATTGATGGGCAGGATTTTCAGATGATGCCAGGTTATGATACCTAAATAAATACTAGATAATGTATACATCTCTCCCAATTCTCTTGCCTGTGAAATGACTTAAGATTTCTAGAATGAGTACACCAAAGTGCACAGAATTAATATATTCACTACAAGAAATCATCAAGACTGAAATAAAAATTCCTTTATGAGTTTAGAAGCACTTCATGCTTTAGAATTCTAGAGTTTTGTACTGTAGTATAACTCTGTAAAAATGTAACAAATTCAAAGAATAGTAAATGGGGGGGGGGGAGGAGTATTGCTTTCCTTCATACAGAATTAAACACACAAACTAAATGGCAAAGACTTAATCCAGTTCCAGCATGTCCTGACTTGGCCTCATCTAGTTCTTTGCAAATTGGATAAATAAGATTGGATTCCTCTGGTTATTTCAAGGGGAATGTTTCTTCCCATATATCATTTCAGTATAGACAATCCAATCCTAAAATATGACTTAAACTGAAGCTGCCAAATGAGTCAAACCTCTCTCTCTCAATCTTCAAAACCAGCCCTGTTACAAAACTTGTCAGAAGAATATGTGCATATAAAGGCACACACTTACTTCTGTTATAAGCAGCAACTAAACTGTATCATGAATAGATGGACTTTTCCATTAAAGTTCTGTGCATATGAACTGGCTGTAAAGGTTGATATCAGAAGCTTAGGTAAGCTTTGTTTAGTAGTCCTGCTTGCTTGGTTTTCCTTACTCTGTTGGGTGCATCTACATGTCACCATATGGCAATGTGGCTATGGCACTATGCTTTAGTACTTCACTTTGGAAGTACTAAAGCAGGGTGCATTATGGGTGGTTACTGCACCATGTGCATGGTTAGGTTTTGCCACTATGTGACTGTAGCGGTGCGTTATACCAAGGCAGTGCACTGCCACAGCACTGCAGATGGCAATCGCATATAGACCCACGTGATCGCTACATTGCCATAGCATGTGCCATATGGTGATGTAGTGTGTCGCTATGTCACCGTATGTTGTACACACAAGGCATACTATGCATAAAAAGACAGACAAACAGGATCTTTTTCAGGGGCAAAGGCAATAAGCCATGTTTATTGAACACAAAAATATTAGACCATTATATCCTTATTGCTTAAATCGCTACACTTGCAGACACACATTACCATACACACACACACACACACACACACACACACACACACACACACACACACCCCATTCTGATGTTACCAGTCCTTAGGTGTTCAAGTCAGCTTGGTGGCCAACCAAGCTGAGCACAAAGAAAAGGAGGCTGAGGGTCTGTTGGACATGTACTGATGCCTCATTGTTGTGCAGAAGTTGTCCCCCCGCAAAGTCTTTTCTCTCTTACTCATCTTTTATAGTAGCAGCTGCATGTTTGTCACTTGTTCGTTAGACCAGGGGTGTCAGCTGCACTTCTGTGATGACTTGTTTTTTTCCCCCTCAACTTTTGTGGTTAGAGATGACCTTTGGATTTAGAGAGTGGATGTTTTTGCTTTGGGTTATCTGTCTGCATCTTCAGCCATTTTTTTGCAGGCGTGATATTTTTATCTTTTCTTGCCATTTGCATCTTTAGTTTCCATTTCCTTTCTTGCCTGACCACACGTGTACCACATTCATAGAAAACAAGAAAAGATAAAAACATTAAGACAACGAAGTAAAACAAACTGGAGTTTCAGCTTATGCTAAGCTATATAAAAGATAAAATTACAAATGATGTCCAACACAGAGTGACATGTAGATACACCCTATTTAATAATACGTCTTCAATTGAATTGCAAACTTTGCTATAAAAAAAAACCAACAACAACAAAAAAACAAAACCCAAGTTTTTGTTTTTTTTTTAATTTTAGAATTTCCTTTTATACTTCAGTGCATCCAAGATTTCACAGTAATATTTATGTTACTACTTTCTTCTTCTTTTTGGTCAGAAAATTATACATTATTGAAGGTAACCATGAGCATTGGTTAAAGATCTCTCTGGCATTTGGATTGTTTTGCCGGAGTTCTGACTAACTTCTCCAGCCACTCAAACAGCCTCTACTCCCACTTTCCATGTAATTTATCAGTGTCCAGTTCCTATGCCTTAGATGCATTCTCAATGACCCAAATCTTACATCTGGATGCATAGACAGCTCTATCATGCAATTTCAGACCTGAAGAAATTCTGGTTCCAATCAGAGCTTTTCCAGGTATCAAGCAGCCTCTTCTGGTCCTTTCATGCCTGCCAGATGCCCCCAGAAAGTTGCAGGCATCAGTAGGGTTCATGAGATCAGGATTTTCTTTTTTCAGACTATAAATGGTCTGCTGGCTGGTGAAGGTGATGTTAGTTGGCCCAACTCACTCTGGAAAGCCATTATAGGTTTAGCATTTAAAATATGCAAGTATTAATTGCTTGGTAATGAGAAATTTAATTGACATAGTGATTAAACTGTAATCCTAAGTAGCTGACAGAAATCAAACAAAAGACAAAGAAGAAAAAAAACCCAAAGCAGCATTAATTTGTTTCCTTTAAAAATCAAGTGAACTTAATGCTTCTAAAATATTAGATGGATATAGCTCATCATGTTTCTCAAATTTAACATAACAAAATTAGGCCTGGGAGTATTAAATATATTAATTTTACATGTCCTTGCTTTATGGAGAATACCAACATGGGTGTCAATTCACATTAATTGTAACACTGCCTTTTTAATGCATGAGGTTTTGTCCTTTAATACTACTTAATCCAGTATCTCATTTCACATGAACTACCAAACATTAGGCAACGTAGACTGTCACTTGCTCCCAACCTGGCTGGAAACAGATTAGAGACCTCAAGATGAAAAATCTTTTAAAATCCTTTAGCCACTTCCTGAGCCAATTAGATAATGTCCCAGCCACCTAGTCAAACCAATGGAATTGTAATACCTTATATTATGTGGCACCTGCCAATGTGGAGAATGTATAGGCTTTGCAGAATGTTCATTGTTTTGTTTTATATGCTTTGAAGAATGTCTGTGCGCTCTCTCTTATCAGATAAATGCTCTTTCTTTAGGTATCTATAATTATTAGTACTACTGAAGTGCCTAGGAACCCCAATCTTAGACTAGAACCTGGTAATTTATTTATTTGATTTATATGACGCCCTTCCCAACATAAGCTTAGAGCAGTTTATAGGTTGAGTGACCATATGTCCTGGATTAGCCAGAACAGTCCCAAATTTCAGAGGCTGGTCCCAGCTAGCTGTTGACAATTATAATGGGCGTCCTGAAAACATAGGGGCATGGGGCACAGTCTGACCAGGAGCCTGAGTGGTGCAGCACAGAGCTCCGGATCCCAGCAACTTCTACAAGTGTACTGGGTTTCCTGGATGATGTCCCAGATTTTTCATATTATTAGCCTACTTCCAGGAAGAGAAAAAATTGCTTACAAAACAGGAGAATGAACAAGAGATCAAACTAACTTATAAAAGCAGGTGGAGTTTTAAAGTAATAAAATAAAACAATCCTCCCCTAAACAATATTTCAGCTTAGCCTTGTTTGCTAAATGCCTATCCAGATAAGGTCTTACAGTAGATGTCTAGGCTTGAGTAGGAGGGAATGTGAGATCTGAGGAATGTCTGCCAAGAATGAACTCCCACACTTTTTTGCCAAGTGATCCTGGCACATTGGCACTTACTTGAAGTTGCTGTCAGTTGACATTAGGGATCATGTTGGGGCATAAAATAAAAGATGGTCCCTTAGGGATGTAGGGCCCAGGCCATTTAGGGCCTTATAGGTAAAAAAAAAAAAAAAAATAGCACCTTGGTTTGCACCTGGAAAACTGCTGGGAGCCAGTATAGAATCTGTAGCACAAGAGTTGTATTCCCAGCATCCCACCCCCAACAGAAAGTGTGTTTCCTAGACATTCAGGCTGGAAGGGACCCTGAAGGATCATTGAGTCCAGTCCCTTGCCCCAGGGGCAGGAAGTCAGCAGGGATCATAGGATCCCAGCAAGATAAACATCCAAAAGTGTCTTGAAGGCATTCAAAGTGGGTGCTTGAACAACCTCTGGCAACAGTCTATTCCAAACCTTGGGGGCTCGGACAGTAAAGAGGTTCTTCCTTATGTCCAGCCCGAATCGGTTGCGATAGAGTTTGTGACCATTTGATCTTGTCATCCCTTGGGGTGCTGTAGTGAACAGATGTTCCCCCAGATCCTGATGAGCACCCCTGATAAACTTATAGGTGGCCACCAAATCACCCCTGAGTCTGTGCTTTTCCAGGCTGAAGTCCCATGGCTCTCAGCCTCTCATCATAAGGTGTGTTTTCCTGACCTCTGATCATGTGTGTGGCTCTTCTCTGGACTCTCTCAAGCTTCTCCCCATCCTTTTTGAATTGTGGAGCCCAAAACTGGACACACTACTCCAGCTGCAGCTTCACCAAGGCCTAGTACAATGGGAGAATGACATCCCGGGATTTGCTTGAGAAGCATCTATGGATGCAAACCAGAGTTTTGCTCGCTTTACTAGCCACAGCACCACACTGAAGGCTCATTGTCATCCTGTGGTCAATCATGACCCCCAAGTCCCTTTCATCTGTTGTGCTAACCAGTGCAGCACTGCTGAGCCTATAAGCATGCTGCAGGTTTTTCCTCCCAAGGTGGAGAACCTTGCATTTTTCAGTGTTGAACACCATCAGGTTCTCATCTATTGATTTCATGAGCCTGTCAAGATCTGCCTGGATCACCCTCCTGTCCTCAGGTGAGGATACTTTACCCCAGAGTTTGGCGTCATTGGCGAACTTGGCCAGCCCGCTTCTGACACCAATGTCTACATCATTGATGAAGATGTTAAAAAGTATAGGCCCTAGGACAGAGCCGTGAGGGACCCCACTGGTCACCGTGCACCAGAAAGATTTACTTCCATCAACCACCACCCTCCGAGTCCTGCCGTGGAGCCAGTTCCCCAGCTAGTGAATCGTGGTGAGGTTGAGGCTGCAGTTAGCCAGTTTTTCCAAGAGGTGATCATGGGATACCAGATCAAAGGCTTTTTTAAAGTCAAGATATATGACAATCTCTTCCCCCTTGTCCAGGTGATAGGTCACCTGGTCATAAAAGGAAATGAGATTGGTCAAGCAAGACATACCCACAACAAACCCATGCTGAGTATCCCTTAGGATATTGTCATCAGCTAGTCTGTTAAGGACAGCCTCTTTGATAATCTTATCCAAGACCTTCCCCAGGATAGAGATCAGACTGATGGGCCTGTAGTTTGCCAGATCTACTTTCCTCCCTTTCTTGAAGATAGGCACCACATTGGCCTTCTTCTAATCTTCAGGTACTTCACCAGAGCACCAGGAGTTCTCAAAGATCCATGCCTGGGGCTGAGTTAAGATGCTAGCCAGCTCTTTCAGTACCCTTGGGTGTAAACTGTCGGGGCTGGCTGACTTGAAAGTATCCAGCCTGTCAAGGTGTTCCTTCATGATGGCTGCTTTGGTGGAGGGCAAGGAATCTCCCTCACCCAGGCATCTCTGACCCACAGTGGGCAGGGGTGTCCCATTGGACTGGTGAAAAACTGATACAAAGTATCCATTTAGCAAGTTTGCTTTTTCATGGGCATCAGTTGTCACTTGGCCCACCGGGTTTAGCAGGGGTCCAATGTTGCCCTTGCTCTTCCTCCAGCTCCCCACATGTCTAAAAAGGGCCTTCTTATTGTCCTTGATATTTGTAGCTAGCTAGAGTTCCATTGCAGCCGTGGCTTTCCTGGTTTGCTCTTGAGGGACCAGACCAGAGCAGAATATTCCTCCTTGGTGGTGGTTCCAGTCCTCCATCCTTTGTAGGTCTTCCTTTTAAGATGCAGGAGGTCTGCTAGTTCCATGGAGAGTCAAGGGAGCTGCTGTGCCCTTTTGCTGCCTTTCCTCCAAGATGGGATAGACTTTGCTTGTGCATCCAGGATTGCTCCCTTGAGGAGCAACCACTCATCCTGAACTCCTCTCCCCTTTAGGTTGTGGCCCTTTAGGGCCTCACTGACAAGCCTCCTTAGCTTGTCAAAGTCAGATTTCCTGAAGTCGAGGACTTATGTATTACTGACTGACTTACCAGCTTTACGGTGGATGGTGATCAGCTCGTGGTCACTATCACCCAGCTTCCCTTCAATCATTAGGTCATCCCCAGTTGGCAGTACCTGGTCGAGCAGTGCTTTACCTCTCATTGGCCCATAGATTTCCTGCATCAGATAGAGGTCATCCACACATGAGAGAGAGGTTTGCAACCACTCAGATTTGGCTGAGCACTCCTCCCACAAGATGTCTGGGTAGTTGAAGTCTTCCATGACAACCATACACTGGGAGTGTGTGGCCTCAGCCAATTCCCTGGCAAACTCTTGGTGAAGGTCTTGACCCTGGGTAGGGGGTCTGTAGTAGACTCCCACCATAGTATCCCCTGTGCCGTGTTCCCCAAAGATTTTAACCCAGAGGGTCTCAAGTCTTCCACTGTGGGTGCCAATGTCGGCTTGCAGGGATGCGTAGCTTTCCTTGACATAGAGAGCTACACCCCCGCCCCTTTTGTCCACTTGATCCCTCCTGAACAGGGTATAGCTGTTTATACCTGTGGCCCAGTCATGGGTGGAGTCCCACCAGGTCTCCGTTATCCCAGTGACATCATAGTTATTTGCATTTAGCAGGAGGAAAAGTTCCTCCTGTTTATTCCCCAAGCTCCTGGCATTTGTGTACAGGCAGGAAAGTGTCCCATTGTGGGCCCCGGCCTTGTCTACAGTTTGTTCCAGGGCTGGGACAGAGTGGGTTCCCTTCAGTGCCTTAGTCTGCTGGCTTTTCAAGGGTTGCCGAGCAGGCCAGCAGTGACAGTAGTCCCCCCATCTCCCAGCGGGCTTAGTGTTGCTGCATTCTCCTCCACCTGCAGCTTCTGGATGGTCATCAACAACAGCCTGTTGCCCTTGTCTGTCCTTGTGGTGATGAACGCACAGGTTATACTAGACTGTACAAGCAAAAAGCAGAAAGACCTCCGAACACCAGCAGCTGGTAGTCTTATAACCATTAATGAATATGATCCTCGCAACACCACTCAAGTATTATTCTCATTTTAGAAATAGGAGCCAAAGTAGAATCATTCTATTATTATTATTATTATACAATAAGGGATTAAGGGTAGGCTTTTCAAGCGTGATAAAGTGATTTAAGCACACTAGTCCCACTGCTGTTCAGTGAGATTTTTGCTTTTCAAATCACTATGATCTTTTTGAAAATCCCATTTGTCCAGTGTCACATGGAATCTGTGGCAAAGCAAGAAACTGAACTCAGTTCTTTTGAACCCTTCAGCTCTTGGTCAGAAGAGCTCTGTAGCATAAAGAATGGGATTTGTCAGACTGAAATGAGCATAATTTTGTTCTAGCAATTTCTCTCTTCCCTCCTTAGTAACTCTTCTCACCTGCCTTTCTTTTTGAAGTTGAATGTGGATAATACATCTGTTTGTGAAAGTATACCTTGCATGTTACAAAGTACAATACACAGTTTCACAAGAGTTACCAAGCAGCGTTTTACTCTGCCCAGTGAAGGATGCTGTTATGCAAAATGACATATCCAATCTGCAGTCTTACTTACACTAGTAGAAATATGATGAGCTCAATGTGAGATGCCCATAACCAAACCTTCCAAACTATTCAGTCTCTCCTAAGGTTACAGGATATGCAAAAGTCTAAAATAGCTGGGCACAAATGACAGATACTTGTTCATGTTTTCTCTTTGTAATGATTGCTGAGAGACAACATTGCCTAATCAACGAAAGGGCTAATGGATACTAACAGTCTGGTAACCTTTTTAACATTTTCACCTTGTTTGAGCATTATAAATGCCAGTTTCAGCCATAATAGATTGCCAGCCACAATGCAGAAGAGATGTATTTCTCATTAAAAATATCATCATTTGGTAGGGAACAACTTGGATTAGACTGGTAAGCAATATAGTGATGCTAATGGCAAGGTGAGTCACCACTATGCATACATGGTTTGATAGAGGAGTTTTCATTAAATGTTTCCCACTCTATCTAGCTGCAAATCTTGCTTTCCGGTCATTTATCTTATATTCAGGAATTGATGTTAAGTACATTGAACACAGTAACTGCCATCTGTAGTCTATATTACAAAACTCTCAAAATCATTTTACTTTTGATTATAAATGTTATGTTAAGATATGTTTGTCTTGTCACTCTAATTTGTAGCATATCCTTAATTTCTGCTTCTATTTCATTTGAAATAAATAATTCATTTTTACTTGCCGACTCATATTTCGGTCCTAGTACCCGTCTTATTCCTAGCAGGTCCCAAATAAGATGGAAGCTAACCAACAATAATTTAATCATAAATGCTATTAAACTCAAAATTAAATATTGTATGTACAAAAGTTTTCAATCTACAGTATACTTAATCAGACTTAAACTTAGCTAAAGGGGCAGAAGCAAAATCATGACAATAAGTTTAATAATTCAGTTCATCTCAATATACTGACTGCCACTGCAAAAATCAATGCACAAATACAATATTCATTCCTTGCTAATGTCCATTTTTGAATAATATTACCAAATCAATGGTAAGCAGCAATTAATTCAACGAGTCCCAGCAATAACCATACCTGTTGTAATTATTACACCAGTGGTTCTTGGCAGGGTTCAAATTACATTCCGACTTTTGGGGGGTCTATGCTGGTGGCAGCTGGAAGCCAAAAGGAGTCACTATGACCTGAGCTCTCATCTCTTATGGGGGAGCTTGGGGGGGGGGGGGGGGGGAAGGCTGAGCCCCACCATGATTTGAACTGTGGTTCTTGGTATGTTTAGATTTGAGGTATTCCTCGGGAAATGCCATCTCTTAGTTTCCTTTTTTTTTTTTGAATATAGAAAAAAAATAGAACAGTTTTTTTCCCTGTTGCAAAGAAGCCCACTACTATGGATTTGTATTTGAAATATCCAGGTTTGTCTAGTGAAGCATGTTTGCATACCTAACAGTGTTAACTTTGGACAATAGCCAGCCAACTTGAAGGATCTCGAAGCACCCCAGCGTGCCATGGTACCCTGGTTGAAAACAACTGTGTTAAACTTTTGCAGAAGTCTGTCTTTGGAAAGAATCAGTCCTCTTGATCCTATTAAAATTTTGGATTAAAATGGCATTTGTATCCTGAAAAACACAATACCAATTTCAGGTTTTAAGCAAGCTATACTTCTTGACAACAGCATTCACTTGGATGTGTCCCTAGTATTAATGTGCCATTTCTCCTTTTTATAAAGAAGGATTGTGGAAGGGAGGAAGATGAAAGAGATGAAAATGAGGAGTTGCATGCTATTAAGGAAAAAAAAAACCCTCAAGAAAAAAAGACAAGAAACTCCACCTTTTTACTCATAGGTTTTCTGCCACAGCGTTTGTTCTCCCTGAAACCACCAACTCCAAATGTAAGAAGCAGGTCAGTTCCCCTGAACTTGTGGATGTTTCAAGAATCTGCATACACTGCAGGAGAAGTTATTTACATGCAGGCCTAGTGCCCATCCAGGCAGTTCATTTTGTTCCCTGGTTGGTGCATTGTCACAAGATCCTTGCCAAAATTTCTCCAGAGGCTGCAGTTCTGGGAGAAGTAGATAATGTTGGTTCAAACAGCAGAAACCTTTGGGTATATTTTGGCTGGGGAAAAAAAAAATCATCTTGAACATGGACAAAGGAAAGACAGGTCCCTCAGTTTCCTTCCCTGGCTCTATTGCCTCAGAACTATGAAAAGCATGTGATTTTGCGTGCAATAGGAAACATCTGTAAATCTTACTCATCTCACCCCATAACTTTGTCTCTAATGCGCTACATTATGCCTCACTCCATACTGTATATTGGCTGGAAGTATAACATTAACTGGAGGTGCATACTTAAAAGTATTTGACTTGACTCACAACTTAGCTTTATCCCTTTTGAAGGAAATAGTAAAATTCTTGCTGATTTAGGCAAAGCAAGATCAGGACTGTAGGGAAGGCAGAGACTGAGTGAGATTCTGATATGTTGCTCACTCAACACATCTCACCTCTTGCAGTAGATCCTTTATTTTTAAGCTGAACCCATTATATTTTCAAGCTGCAAAGAGAGCAGGTGATAAAAGGTGCCATTACAAAATTGAAAAATGGAAAATAAAAAAAATTGTAGGCCCCTACTGCATTACATTTAAAATGTGATTAACCATTTCAGTTAATCACGTCTTAAGTAGTTACCTGGCCACACATTAATGCAAGTAGCAGAACGATAAAACAAGGAACAATCCTTTGTGGCGGTTTCATATCACGCCATTTATTGAACATGTGGCCAGGCTGACTTGGGCTCCCAGCCTCCAGGGCACGTGGGAGCCTCTGACTCCCATGAGTTCCCAAGGCTGAGAATGTCAATCAGCTGATAGCTGCTCCCAGTCTTGGGGGCCCATCAGTCTCCGATATGCACCCAAGGCTGGGAGCGGTGATCAGATGCTGCTCTCTGCTGTGGGGGCACAAAGGGGTCCTAGACTCTGATTGGGGTTCCCAGACTTTGAGGCAAAACTGGTGTCAAGGGCTCCATTGTGGCCCCATGGCTGGGAGTCCCACCAGCTGCTCACAGTTCTTAACCATGGGATCTCAGGTTGCCCCTGCACCATCAATGGGGAATGATGGGATCTGATGCTCAATCCTACAAACATACATGCCACCATGGATGGTAATCCATGTCTGACGTGAGAAAAAGTGGGATTATGAGGACTGTGCATCAGATCTCATCATGCCTTTAATTACAGGTATGCCAGGGGCCTTAGAGGAGCCATTCAACAACACTGAAAGTCTGACCCATGCTAAGGAACATTAAAGTTATGCACTGCTGACTATGGATTATGTTGGGTTGGGTTTTTTTAATTTTACATAGAAGCCACTTTAAATCAGTAAAATGTAGGCTGTAGAGAAAAATGCCTACGTTGCAATCCTGAGTAAATAGGACATCTTAAGTAAACTATAAAAATAATAAAAAGCAAAAATATCACTTACCAGTTTGCTCTCCGCATTACTCTTCCTATTCTTGTGTGTGGAAAGGGCCCTGCATTTGGCACAACTGCACAGGCAGGAGCAAGCTCTGAAAACTCTGCATATGTGAAGATCTACTTTTTTCCTCTCTTTATGGCAGAGGAAATGAGAGATTGGGAAGGTTGGTGGCTGGAACAACCAGCAGCTGCACAGCATCCCAGCTGCATCTGCAGCTCATTGATGTGTGAAATGTAAGTGAATCTGCTTCAGAGCTGTTCTCCATAATGTCATCAGGCTTCCTTCCTTGTAGAGGGAAGGCAGGTGTTCAGAGCATTGAGCCTTCTAGATCCCTACCTTCAGAACCTGTGTCAATGTCAATAACAGATACATTTCTTTAGTTCCCTTTTCAACTATGATTTTTTAAATTTTACAACATTACTATTCTCTTCCCCTGTCATTTGCTTGTTCAAAGTTTATTAAGAAGTATAAAAGCTCATATGTTATTAAGGCTGTTGCTGACTTACATTTATTCTTTTCCTCACTGCTTTCCTGTAGTAAGTGTCGCCTATTGGCAGCCAGTTATTAATACTTCTTTGTGAGACTACATCACATTAAATTGATCTGGTCATATGTTGCTTTAATGAAATTCCTTCATAAAGTTAAATCTGCCACTTAAATATGATGCTATTAATATGTATTTTCCTAGATTCTTTGGGGGTTTTTTCCCCCTATTTTTTAAACTTACATGTGGAAACCTCATGGACTTATTTACAAAGTCAGTGTAATTGCTCCCTTTTTTCAATAGAAAACATCACATGTCTTTTGGTTTTTTGAGATTGCCTCATCCTTAGTTTGGTTATTTTCCTGACTTGTATCTTGCTTTTATCAATCAGCCAGCTAGGTTTTTTTTTTTTCTTTCCCCCAAGTGTACCATCATGAGCTGATACAGAAATTCCTTATTCTGTAATGCATCTCTGGTTTACATTTGGAACCATTTATCTTCTTTCATTTCCCCTAAATGGAGTAAATAAAATATTTTTACAGCTATTGGCACACTGTTCTATTTCACAACATGCACACAGTGTATTGGGGATTCAACAATGAAACAGACTTCAAAAACAAGGCAAAAATAAAATCTCAAACACAACTTGGTCTCTCATACGTTTATGTCCTTCAATTAGGAAATGTAAAGGGTGTGCTACTCTGAAAGAAATAAGAATAAGATACTGAATTGGTAATGGAAAACTACTATAGTAGTGAAGAGAAGGAACTGAA